TACATATACCGATTATATTTTATTTTTATTTTCTCCTCCGTCCGGACGTTTTTGGCTAAACTATTTGCTAAATAAGAAAACAAAATTTTATTTTAAATTTTATTCCGCCCTCTGATAATTTTTTAAAAATAAGTACGCGAAACAAGAAATAAAAAGGTCTCGCCTTATACACGACGTAACAATTACCCAGAATACAATATAAAATTACCTTTATAATAAAAGCTTTAAAAAAACAACAATATTTTTGCAACACTACCGAGATACAAACAAAATCACCCAAAACAGGCCCACAGAAAGAAGGGTTTGTGCATACAGTATCTTGTGAATAAATTGTTATTTTGTGCATACATCGATAAAGTATTTGTGTGAGTGGATTTTTTATGTTTTTTTTTTTTTTTGTGAATTAACATGTTTGTTCCACCTGTGTTGGTGTGGCAGGAGTTTGAAGTGATTTAGTTTTTAAAAGCTCACTATAAATCTTTAAACCTCCTTCAACAACTATAGTGCTGACAGAAATTTGGAAAATTTAATTACAACCAACTTCCACACATGGTTATTGTGGTTTGTGATAATATTTAAATTGATATTAAAAAATACAACTTGAAAAATAACATATCATTTATGAATTTGTACATTTATTAACTTAGATATCTGCTTTTTTCACATTAGAGTTAACTCTTTCTAACCCCTTTTGCAAAAAAAAACTTAATTTTCAGGAAAATGTATGGATGGCAGACTAAATTACATTACATACAATTTTAAATTGAATTATTGGTTTGTTCAAAGGTAGACATGTGCTGTTAGATGATTAGGTCTTTTTTTTTTTTTAAATAAAAAAAAGTTCTGCATAGAAATTACACAGTAGGAAGCTGCTATATAAACATTTTTTTTCTTTTCTGGTCAACGAATCATGGCTGATGGACAGCTTGGCCTGTCCGACGGGTGGCTAAATCGCTCCACTCTCCAACTGCAACTGAAGTGAGGCCCACCTATATATATAATATCATAGTGACCAACCGTCTCGCATCGTGTGGGACAGTCCCGCATTTCAAAGTGATTTTGGATGAAACTTGCATTTTGCAGAAACACATTTTTGATCATAAATTTGTCACGCATTTAGCACATCTATGCATGATAACAAATTATCACAAATTCAGGGGAAAATGTATTTAAAATTAGAAGAAATTGGTTTTATTAAAAAATTAAAAACGGTCATGCAGTAGCTTCAATCATTAGAGAGCTTTAGTTATCTCATTCGAGAATCATTTCACCGAGAAAATTTCTCTTCCCCGAACAAAACAACCCTGCCAACCACACAATTATAGAATCTAGTATTCGCTTGTGGTCTTGCGCATTCATTGTCACAACCAACCGTTGATTATGTGACTGGAACCCGGGTCCCCACCGGGTTTCCGCCCTTGGACCCTGGGGACCCCCCACCCATCCAACTCGTGTAATGACACAATTCAAATCTCTCAGGTTGGTAACTATGTAATATAAAGGCCCAAAAAAGGATCATGAGATTGGTGGAACAATTTAGTCAAGTCATTTAATACATCTTTTTTATATTTAAAAAAAAATTACTCCTTTAGTAGTAATAATAATAATAATAATGATTTATATAATGTCTTTCCAAATTGATGAAAGTGCTTCAAAAGGACACCATCAGAAATACAGTAAGATTTTACAATAATTATAGTAATTTACAATATTAGGAATATATTAAGTAATTAAAATTGAACTGATATAAAAATACAATTAGAAAAATACAAAAGTGAATGACAATATAATTTACAATTAATACAGTAATTAAGGTACAATTATTGTAATTATTTACAAATCAGAAAAATACAAGATTATAATTAATTATTCATATTTATAAAAATAATATAGAAATTCCCAAAATCAAGTTAAAAATCCCCCACCCGCAAGTCAGGGGAGCACTGTCTGCAAAAATCATTTTACAGCCTGAAAGTGCCATTTATAGATGACTAGAGGTGCCTATTCTCCAACCATGGTGGGGTTGACTGGGTGAGGACCCTGTCACGGAAATTAGAGGTCCAGTCCACATGAACCTTAGACCCTTCGTTGGAGAATCGTTGGCACCGCCACCAGGTAAATTCAATGATTGAATTGCTTATTTTTAATTCTTTATTGATCTAAAATAGGAACATTTATTTTTGCCAATTAATAATTAAAAATTATGCAACAATAATAACAATAATGGTCCAATATTGTAAAGTGTAAAAAATATCTCTCCTTGAAGGTTGAACACAATAATTCTGTGTAGTCTCTTAATCACATTTGTTAAAGTTGTTAGTACTGTATAGACAAAACGAAAGCAATCACTTTTTTTACAAAAAAAAATCTTAATTTAATAACCTAGCCAATTGTGAGCATCTATGCAATAAATAATATAAGAAATGTATTATTTTTACATCTGTCAGTTGCTGAAGAAAAATATTTTCTCAATCTATTAAAAGCTACTATAAATATAAAAACACTACAATTCAAATATCAAATTTTGTGTGTATATAAAGGTAAAGAGGTTATCAGAAACAATAGCTAATTCATAGAATTTTCCAGTGTTTGGTTGCACCGACTTTCAAACAATTCTCACTATCAGCAGATATGTTGACATTATTGAGAGCTATGGGATATTTTTCCTAGGTTCCATTTGAAACCTAAGCCAAGCAAGATTACAGGAAGTGTAACAAGTCTTCACCACCATTATTTCCTGTACCATGATCCAAAAGTATACATTACATTAAATACTAAAAGGAAACTCTCGCATTCATTGTTATGGTTACAGCAACATGCGTTCCTTTTTTATAATTCATTATTGGAATCCAACACAGCAAATCAGAACATAATGCTTTTCACACACTATAGTATTTAAAAAAAACTGTATATATCCTCTTGAGTCACATGCTGTTTTACTACTCTACTTGTTTGTTTGAGATTTATTTTTATATCATGCAGCGGCATATCTAGGATTTTGAAAAAGGAGGTGCTGATAGAAATATTAAATCCACTGAACTTTAAGCAAGGTAGTACAAAACTATGAAAGGAGCGTGTTGAAAGCTATGACTACACCATATGTTAGTTGATAATGTTGAAAAAAAACAATTTCCATTTAATTACTATTATTTTTTTCCACGTTTGAACAAAATGGGGAATTGGGGGGGGGGGCTCAGGCACCTTAAAGCACCCTCTGGTTACACCACTGACATGAATATCATGTTGAAAAGTACTCTAAATACCACACTGTTATCATAACTATTGTTCATCAGGGTTTTAAAGACAATTTATTTGTTGCACTTAAGTATAAACAGTGGTACAATTTAGCCAATGGTTACCTCTGTCTTGATCAAGATTAAATCCAAACCAAAAACAGCCTAAAAGCCATAAAGAGGGAGTGGATCTATTTTTTTGTTGCAAGGAAAAACATTCTGGTTTTGACAGGATATAAATCAAAGAGTATACAGTGTATATACTGTATAAATCCATGACCCTAGGGCAAGGACAAAAGTTGAATAGCGCCCTCTATCTACACTCACACTGATTTATACAGTAATTTCCCCATATTGGAATAGTTTGTGAAACCTTATTTCAGTATAATGTTTACATTTTGAGAGAACATAGTTGGTTAATATTTCATGGAGGCAGTCAATCAAAATCATTATTGTTCATAAGCATGATGCTAATTTATTTATATACATTATTGATTGAAAAACAGATAAGTATTAAAAAACTAATGTTCACAAAGGTATTTTATTATTATTGTATTTATGGACCCCATCATTATATACATTTAAAGCTTTTTTGGATTTGGCCTTACATGACAATTTGTGTGATTTGCCAATATATGGGCATGATGATCTCATCACATCCATATTTGGGTGAATCACGTCCGTATTTGGGTAAATCACACCCATATTTGGGTGAATCTCGTCCGTATTTGGGCAAATCACATATCACATATTTGGGCAAACCACAGGTATTTGTCACATAAAACTAACAATAATACATATAGAGCTTAATTGCACTACTGTACTATATTTTAATTGATTTTCTGATTTTCAATAGAAAATATAACTATTATATAATAAGCTGCAATCCCTTCAACAAAACATTACAAACACGCTATGTACATGACAGGAAGTTAATGGTCAGTACACCAGAAGATAATACCATATTAATTTCAATAAAGAACTGAAAACTGATTTCTCATCAAATTGTGTGTTTAGTGGGTTTGTGATGTTGTTTTGTAATGTTTTTTCTCCCCTTTTGTTAAACTTCAATTTTGAATGAGAGATTGCAATAAAGTTCTTCGTATTTCGTAATTGAATTGCTCAAAGTGCCACGAACACCACTCTCTTGGTGGATACCAGTGCTATATAAATTACCATCATTGAACAATCGCCGGATACTATTTCCCAACTAATGTATTAAGTTCTTTGTTTATGCACAATACATACGATCAAAGGATTAACATCTTATTCGAAGGTTGATGTAATTACAGTGAAGTGTGCGACCCAAGGATACAGGCAGAGATCAATATTGGTAGATTTTGAACCTGGGCCAGTGGTGGATCCAGGAGTAGGGTAATGTGTGCTAGGACCTCACCACAAAAAAAAGGAAGAAAAAAAAATAGAAAAGAAAGGAGAAGGAAGGGAGCATGGTACTCAAAAACAACATTTTCAATTAATATTCCATGTACCCAGTGTCTATAGACAAGCATTTCTAAACAAAAATTTCGAAACCACGCCCCACACCTGCTCCGTGCTTCACACGTCACATGGCTCCCTACCCAAACTTTTCTCTGTATCTGCCCCAGGGAGGTAAATACAGAGTCTATTTAATTACCCTAATTACTGTAGGGCAATTTCTACCACTTTTAATAAAATTAGCTATAGAAATGTATCATACCATAAAATATCCAAACAGAACTTTATATTTTATATTATAAACTATGTACACAGAAAAAAAAGACATTCTTTTATGTTGGATTGAATTTTTATTTTTCTTACAAAAACACAATCGCACAATACACAGCTTGACGTTTGTGTGATAAATTCAACAATGCTACAAGTCCTGGTAATGGGTCTCTTTAGAACAGAATTGTACAGAAAGAAAAACAGTACTATATATAATTGTTACAGATTAAAAGGTGGTATACAGTAGCTCATACTAAAAGCCAATAATAAATACAATTATATTCAGGTCCAATGTTGTAACAATGACAATACACAGTCTGATGTTTCTGTGTTAATTCAACAATGCTACAAGTCCTGGTAATGGATCTCTTTAGAATGGAATTGTACAGCGTGAAAAAAATTACTGCTATATAATTGTTACAGGGTAGAAGGTGGTATAGCTCATAATAAAAGCCAGTAATAAACACAATTGTATTCAGGTCCAATGTTATTCAATGTGAGTTTGGTTATAAAAAATAATTAAAGCAAGCGAGCTATACAAAACAATTGAAGAGGTTTGAGTGGTCTATATTACTTTTTATTACATTATTTACATTATGAATGAATTATCAGGGCAAATGTGATTTGATTTTATCTACATTCAGTAGTTGGCTATCAAAACATCAAATTATATTCAACAAATCCGAAGTCACAGAGATACTGTTGCGGAAAAAGTGGGAAACTTTCTGGCTTCATCAGGTCATCAGATTGTAGTATAAGATAAGATGCAGAACTCGAAAAGATGTAAGTAGGTGTAACATTAGTAAATGAAAATTGTAAAAAAATTACAGTTTATAGTCTAGGTCTATCTTCAACTTGGAAAGTGTACTTAGATTGATACAGTACTACACTATTAGTATACTAGTAACTAACTTTTGTTGTGAGTTAAAAATGATTTCTTGGAACTTTTAAATTTAGTGATGAATCTGAACTAAACATTGCATGTTGTATGACCAAAAAAATATCTAGATTACGCCCGGCTATGAATATGTCATGATTTGTAAATGGAATGTACAATTGACTGAAAAACACATGTCAAATGTCGTAGGCATTTGATTTGTATAAAGAATATGTCTGACAAGTCAAATAATTTCTCATACCAGTCATTGCCTATGGTTTACCAAAAATATGCCGAGTACAGGGCACACAATTTGCCATATCATATGCTGAGTGAACATACGAGGGAGGCATGACATCCCAAATCCAACATCTATGGCCAAAACATGGTCATTTACTGGAATTGACTACGACGAAGGCTACAGGTATGAATAAAGGTATTACAGTAGAACTTCGATTTTACATACGGTACAGGATCGGAGGGTGTACGTAAATTGGATGATTCGTAAAATCAAGGTTGGGTCAAATTTGTGGTGACCTTTGACCTAATACGTACTATAAACATATGTTATGAACGAAAGATGTTACCTAGGCCTACAACAGGCACAACATACAACTGTATGCCTAGGCCTACGAATAAAACTATGTGTTTAGCGTTTTTATTCATCACTTTGCGATGTCATAATAGAGTGTTCAAATAAAACCAAGTGTCTAGTGTATTAATTCATCATTTTATATGTTTTACCTAAAAAACATTATAATATTGCATGTCATGCCTCATATGCTGGGGTCCAAATTTCCTGTGAGTCACAGAAGTTTCCCAAAAATTTAGATGGCCAACAAAGCAAAAATCACCCAGAAATTAACCCATCTCCTGCAAATTTATTATATTTACATATTTTTAATAATTAATCAACTGTCTCCCAGAAGCCAACTGGTGATAGGTATCACCAACCTGCTCAGCAAAATAAAATTAGATGTGCTAAGAACACCCACTAACTAGAAATTCCTGGAAGTGGTTTCTTGGGGCCCATGCATATGAGATGATACTGAACCCTGAATGATGACATTTAAAAAGGTCTAAGCCTACCTAATTGCCTACTTGATCTACTCTAGTGCCTCATGACTGTGCTGTGTTTGCAAATCACTGAGCTTCTTCTTCAGTACTGACAGGCCCGAAAGCACAATGTTCTCAGGCCTCAGGGATCCGCACGACTCAACGTTCAGGTAGAACTTGTTGGGCTTGTCAGATGGATCAAATGGTGCTTGTACTAAAATAAAAAATGAGCAAATTAAACATGTTTGACGTAACTATGGAACATTCTATATTTGTTTTACCTTTTCAAACATGTACTACATTACAATTCAGGAATTAAACACTCACATGTAAAATATACCATTTAATATAGCATAAAATAAATTATATTTTGAATTGGTTCGTGCATATAGAAAATTAAAGATACTAACTTTACGAACATTATAGAATTTATAAATCAAATTGGCTGGTAATTAATATTTAGTCAGAAACTGGCAAATAATATGTGAATTTGGTTTTTGTATATAGTAAATTAAAGAAAATAAATTTATGAGTAAATAGGATTTATAAATTAAGTTGGCTGGTAATAATTCAGAAATAAGTCAGAAACTGGCAAATTAAAATCCTTACTGACTATGTACTATAATGCTTAAGTAAGTTTGACAATCACTCAAATTGTATTGAATTCATAAACAAATAACTTATAAATAAATGTGTACCCTAATTAAACTTCATTCTCTTAGATAAGTAAGTGTACATAATTTAATAATTAAATGTAAATAGATAAACACTATATTTTGTATCTATCAAATTTATATATCGGCATACTTATGAATTAAATAATGTCTCTTAAAAATCTTATATTTATATTCTCTTAGATAAGTAATTGTACATAATTAAATAATTAAATGTAAATAGATAACTACTATTTTTTGTATCCATCGATTATATAGATCATTAATTTATATATATTAATTAATTGTCTCTTAAATTTCTTGAAATGAAGTATATACATATATTAATGAAAATTATATTTAATGCTAATGATATATTTTATACATTTAACTTGAGTTTGTACACCCATTATTAGTTGCTTTAGATGTTACTCATTTCAAGCAAATTGTTTAAATTTTCAGTATTGTTACTATTTACTATGTTTTTTACTTTAGGCCTTGGCCTTTCTGTTTTTGTAATTTGTCATTGTAGCGTTTCTTATTATTTCAAAGGGACCCCTCCGGAAACAAGCAGAAATGCTTAAAGGGTTTTCTTGAAATTCTCTATAATTGTTGTTTTATGACTCATTTAATTTCTGTACTTGTTTACTTGTGAGAATTTCGAAATAAATCAATCAAATCACTGATCTAATAATATATATTGCTTGGAAAGTGAAGTTTTCATCACCCTCCAGCTCAGAGAATTCACTAAAAAAAAAAAGAATCTTAACGGGATTGGATTAACCCTTGACCTCCAGATAACAAAGTGAATACTGTATAATGGAGGTTGGCTATTCTGATTGGTTGACTTACATTCATCATCCTCCAGCTCAGAGAATTCGCTTTTCGGCCATTCCTCAACCTTGGGGTACACAGTGTGTCGGAATGCGTTGTCGGGGTCGTACTCAAATGCTACTGCTGCCGTGGGAATCCACTTGGCATGCTCTTTGCCAAAACCTTTCCTGGCAATGGCTTTTAATTTTAAGTCTTGTCCTTTCCTTAATTTCACTATCATGATATCTGAAAACCAAAACAGAATTTCATAATCAATCAATAAATATAAACTCTAATCATACTACTTGTGCTAGGCAGAGGGCAGTATACAAATTTATGATCAAATGAAGAATGAAATGTAGAATACACATTCACAATTGCCACAGATTCTAATAATACATCAATATACAGCCTGGTTTCCTTAAAATCGCTACACTGTGACTACAGAGCTTTCAGTGCAATCGAGAAGGCTCCCTGATTCGACCAACCAATCAGCATCACCAAAAGCCGTCTGCGATAGCCTGTACTGATTGTATGGAAACCAAGCTTAATAAACCATTGAAAAGCAGGTAGATGGAATTCAACCACTTGTGTTTCCAGAAATTTGCAGACGGGGTCCAACATGTCCAACAAAATGGGCCTGAACAAAGGAGCCGTCTAGGGCCTCTTATCAGGGTCATGGAGTTGAAACAACAAATGAAGAAGTTTTATAGTTTTGGAAGATTACAATATAGGATATGTGATTAACAATTAATTTGGTTGAATCAGAAATTTAATATTTTTAGTCAGACGACCTAAAGTGACATCAGACAACCAAAGGGTAAAGGCTTGTCTGACAAGGTGAGGTGGAAATTGTCCACTCTCATCCCCCACTACTGGCACCACCACCACTGCCAGGAACCAAGCATCTTCATGGTTCAACTTACACAGTGAACATGTATTTTGGCTATGTGTGTGTGTGTGCTATGTATGCTGCCCTCAGTGTTCTTACCATCAGTCTCTCCATATTCACTAGACTCATCTTCTCTAGGTCTTGATGGTGTCTAAAGGCAAACAATTAACATGAATTAACAAACAATAATAACTAACATGAATTATGATGTGATGTAATACAAATTGTACTAACTGCCTTTCTGTGCTTCACATAACATTTTAATTTTAAAAAAAGATTGGATTTGATTTATTTGGCATCGCACAAACTAAAACAGCAATTTTAAAACATCATCAAGAAAAGTGAAGTCTTACGTATATTGAATAACAGATTAGAAAGAAGTAAAATATAAGCAATTAACTCAAGTTGACTTATGTTTGTGTGTGTGTATATTACAACATATATTGTTAAGTGTGAAAGCGATGTTGTTTCGACTGGATTAGATTGGATTTATTCGATGTAAACACCAAGGATAGCCCAGGAAAGTCTAGAAGAAGACTTATTTCCAGTGGGGTCCTTGTGGTGATTGGAAAGTACACCGGGAGACAATCCCCTACTCTTTTCCGAAGAGTGTACTGCATTCTTTAACGTGCACATGGGCCATAAATGCACACGGGACCAACAGATTAAATGTCACATCCGAAAGACAGTGCGCTATTATATTGTATTTCAGCCCACTACTTGAAACACAAGGAGAGGCAACGATGGGAATTGAACCGGGGACCTAGAGATCTCCACGGTTCAGCGCGCACACAGTGGCTACCACCAGATTAGCCGACTGAGCTAAGCTGCTCTCTCGGTGTGTGGAGCCCTGTTTCTAGAAACCTATATACCGGTAGCACACTATTATTATTATTATTATTATTATTACAGTATTATCAGAGTCATCAATTGTGGGTACTCACTGGAACAACCCGTGGATCAGATGACTTAAGGTCTCGGGATGTCACATGACGTGGTCCCTCTTCATCATTCTTTACATGAAGGTTGAACTCAACCGAACAATCTTGACAAAACTCGTCACATGTGCAATCCTGTAAAAACGTTGAAACACAAGAAAGTTTACGAATAGTATAATAATTTAGAAGCCTAAATGCCTCAATCAAGCCATCCTTTCTCACAGATAAACAGTTACAGTGTACCATAAATAAATGACCAATTAAATGCCTCAGTGCTTACTATATTTTTGGAGGTTTCAGTGTTGCACTTACTCAAAGGGGCAGGGCGGATTACTTTAAATGGTCTTCAGACGGTCTTAACGCTTAGCTGGCTAATAATTGTGACGTCACTATTAGTCTATGATTATACTGTAGACCATTGCTATACCGCAGTATAACCAGTTAGCAGTTTTAAATTTTAAAGCCTACTCGGAGGAGGCTTAAAATGGTCTTAAATCATTTTCATCATAGCGCTACAGGTACTACTGTAGACCTAGATCGTCAAAGAACAAGAATCGAACAACAAGTATTCCGCAAAACTTCACTGTAAAAACTGGTCTTACTTTATTTACGTTCATTTTGATACATGTGCATTGTGTACACATGAATCCAGCAAGCGTGACGTTCAGTATGTGTAACAGCGCCCTCAAATTTATGTTACTAATAAGTGCCTGTTAAGCATGTTTTCCACTAGGCAAATTTATTCGCGGGAATCAAACGTGTTGGTTTGGTTCCTGAGCTCTGATTGGTTGCGTACTTATTTCGCTTCGCAAGAAGTAGAAACAGTTCAAACCACCGATTTCCACTGATAATAAAATGATACTTACTCTGTGATAGTTCATTCGATCAACAATATCATCACTTGTCAGTGGAATAAGTCCTGCAGAACCACAAAAAAAAAAAGAGAACAATATATATTATGACAAGACTAATTGCCCAAAATTAGATATTCAGAGGAGGCATTGATCACTTCTTTCATTTTTATAACTAATTACTTACCGTATAAAATTACAATAAAATTATTATTCAACAGTTCGTACAAGGTAATTGTTCACTTTGTAGTTATGTAAAGCTCTGGGACGTAGATATAAACATGTCCACTTACCAACTCTATGTGCAATAAATTCATCATGGAGGACTGTTGAATTTGCCTCTATCTGGATCCAGTCAATTGCCAATGTTGGTGTTTCAGCAATGAACACTCTTCTTATTGAATTTGCAACACTAACAATGAAAATTCATTAAAATTAATTTTAGAGGGAAGAAAACTGAGATTATTAGAAACAGGATAAAAGTAAATTTTTAACTTTACACCAAAGCCATGTAAAGTTTTTAAATTGCGTGAATACATCAAAAACCACGGGTCTAGTGCAGTGGTGGGGCCAAAAATTTGCCTACAAGGGGTCTGGCATTTAGAGGGAAGAAAACTGAGATTATTAGAAACAGGATAAAAGTAAATTTTAACTTTACACCAAAGCCATGTAAAGTTTTTAAATTGTGTGAATACATCAAAAACCACAGGTCTAGTGCAGTGGTGGGGCCAAAAATTTGCCTACAAGGGGTCTGGCATGTCCGAAGCCTCTTTTAAAAGCCCAGAATAAAAACTCCCTTTTATTTTCAAAAACTCCCTTAGAGTTTTTATGGTTTAGTATGGTCCCAATTGTGCTTTTAGACCACAATATTAGGGATTGGCAGTCAAAATAACGTTATTTCGATAGGCAAATTATTATTTTTCTAATTTAAGATCCGATGACCTAGTCAAATGTATCAGGGAGTCCAGGAGCTTTGACCTAATAAATGTATAAACCATGTATTGTGCAGTAATTACGATTCCGTAAATCCTTATTCTCTACTAGCCAATCCATCACCCATATGCAGGGTGATTTGTGTTTAAATGGGTCTCTACTACAAGTGAACCACCACAGCACAAAAGTTATCCAATCTCAGCATATCATTTATAGAGTCAGTGCCTATCATTCCCAGACTATAAAATAACACCTGTATAGGGAATATATCCTCCACCCAAAGATTATGCCTAGAAATCTTTCTGTCCATATTGTAAAATAAGGGAATTTAATATATACTGTAACCAATTTATTATGCAGTACAGCAGTTACGAATCTGCATACCCATATTTCTGTCTCTTATACACATCTAGATGTGTATAAGAGACAGAACCTATACTGCTAGAGATAAGGATAAAGTTTTTAAATTGTGTGAATACATCAAAAACCACGGGTCTAGTGCAGTGGTGGGGCCAAAAATTTGCCTACAAGGGGTCTGGCATGTCCGAAGCCTCTTTTAAAAGCCCGGAATAAAAACTCCCTTTTATTTTCAAAAACTCCCTTAGAGTTTTTATGGTTTAGTATGGTCCCAATTGTGCTTTTAGACCACAATATTAGGGATTGGCAGTCAAAATAACGTTATTTGGATAGGCAAATTATTATTTTTCTAATTTAAGATCCGATGACCTAGTCAAATGTATCAGGGAGTCCAGGAGCTTTGACCTAATAAATGTATAAACCATGTATTGTGCAGTAATTACGATTCCGTAAATCCTTATTCTCTACTAGCCAATCCATCACCCATATGCAGGGTGATTTGTGTTTAAATGGGTCTCTACTACAAGTGAACCACCACAGCACAAAAGTTATCCAATCTCAGCATATCATTTATAGAGTCAGTGCCTATCATTCCCAGACTATAAAATAACACCTGTATAGGGAATATATCCTCCACCCAAAGATTATGCCTAGAAATCTTTCTGTCCATATTGTAAAATAAGGGAATTTAATATATACTGTAACCAATCTATTATGCAGTACAGCAGTTACAAATCTGCATACCCATATTTCTAGTGATTTTCCACACAAATTTGAGCTAGTTTTTGAATGTACCATCAGCGCATTTAAAATACTCTAGTTTTTTTAATTGCACGGATGATACCTCGGAAAAACCAGCTTGAATCTGTGTGGACGATAATCACTAGAAAAATAGGTGCGCAAAAATCTTAATTACTACATTTTCGGCAAAATCTGAGCAGAAATCGGCACTTATTTTCAGAAATGCACGGGCTGATTTCTAGACCAAATTTTTGTGAGGATATATTCCCAGCGCAAGCCTTACTTTATTTATTTTTTCTTTCTTTATACTGCACTTTCAGTACTATAGCACTGATTTTCAAAGTGGTACAGTGACGAGAAACACATATACAGAATGAATAAATTAATAAATAAAAATAAATATATGTATAAAATAAATATAAAAAAAACATTTAAAAAAATTATTGTACATGATTTTGGAATGAAAAAGTTGACATCTCTTCGAAGCTTATTTTTTATTTGTGTGGTAGGCCTACAGTACCCTAGCCTACATCCGGGCCTAGGTTCATTCATTGACTTTCTTTTGACAGTCAGGCCAGGGTCTCCTGGCTAGTTTATTTATACAAAAAAATAAAATAAAATAGAATTAAGCAAATTAATCTGGATCAGCATGAGTTTAAGCCTATAATATGTTAATGTGTACAGGCCTATACCCAACCTATCTACTCCACTAGGCCTATATACACGGTCTAGCTACGCTAGGCCTAGGTTCTGTCACAAGACAACGACACTCTTCAACGGCCCCACATGTGCGAGTCATGCCCACTTCACTAACAATAATAGACAGGCAGGCCTAGCCTAGTTAATCATACTTAATTCATCGTGTATCGTATACGTAACAGTAAAGCATGACATTTATAAATTTACCTAAGATCAGTATTTTCGATTTCAAATTTAACATTATCTTCTGTTAAATCGGTTATACGAATTGTAGGCTGATTTGCGTAAGGCATTTCGTTATGATGATTCCTTGTTTACCACGCTCTTTCATAAAATGTAAATATCGCCCTCAATCTAAATGTTTCATTATTATTCTCTTTGCAGACACATATTATTTGGATATTATTAAATAGGGGTATATTTTTATTTCATATATTGAATTTTGAAAAAAGGTTTACTGTACTTTACATTTTGAAGTAAATCTGTTAACAAAAGTACATAGACCTGTGTTAAGTGTTGCAAGTATCACTCTTCATATTCTCTGTATCCTATCAAAGCGTCTGGATTTCTGTCAGACTAGGGTCCTCAAGGGCAGTGTGTATGTATTTTTGCTGCATGAGATAAAGTGAATACTGAAGATGTCTACGTTTTCTGAGGCTGCATTGAAAGAGAAATTAAGTGGCTTGAGCAATTCTCAACAAAGTATTCAAACGCTGTCGTTATGGCTCATTCACCATAGAAAACATGCAAGGTCGATCGTCAAGCTTTGGCACGCAGAGCTTCAAAAAAGTAAGTGAAAGTTTTGCGCAGATAGAGGCCAGTAAGGGCTAACCTAGGCTATGCTCATTGCTAGGTGCTACGGCCAACATTCATTCGGCCATAGGTCTAGATATAGGCCTAGGACGAGGAGGAGACCTAATCTGTCATAGGCCTATTGTTTACCTGTAGCCTAGGCCTAGATTTTAGTAACTTGTTTAGGAAGGTTGTTTGCACACCACTAGCAAGTAGTAATTGCATATTGTAAGTAAGGTACTATTTCTATTACTATTATAATAATAATAGTAATAACAATAAATAATAATAATAATAATTAGGGGATTTTATTAATAATAATAATAATAATAATTAGGGCCTATTATTGTTATTAATATTATTGTTATTGTTATTAATTATTATTATTTCGTGGTCTCAGACCATTTTCCGATCACTTTTGACCATAATGGAATCATAATTGACAGACTTAGTACAGACAGGTAGTCATAATGACGATAATTAATAGGCTTATGAATCATATGAATCCTAAAAAGATTAATTGGAAAATCCTTAACAGAAACGACATTAATCAGTTCCATAATCTTACAGAAAAACTGCTTGGTAGATTCTCCATCCCCGATGCTTTATGGTAACAAGCATTCATGTAAAAACAAATTGCATTTTAATGATATCAATAACTTTTATGATAGGATTATTGAATGTCTCAAACACAGTTCTAATTGCTGTTTCAAACAAAGTAATAATACTAAAGTTAAAGTTGTTCTGGGGTTGAACGAACAAGTATCAGCTTTTCATAAAAATGCAAGAGTAGCGTTTCTCAATTGGCGCGAGGTTGGTAAACCCAGAACCGGCATATTTTTGAAAACTACCCGATCTCAATTTAAAACTGCTGTTAAACAATGTAAACTAAATGAAGCAACAATAAGGGCCGATTTATGGCTAAATTGTATATGAACATGAATAATAGCAGGTTCTGGGCTAAGCAATCTAATATTGGTAATGTTGAAGGTGATAAGGATATCTGTGGTTTCTGGCAACTACTGTACACTTTAACAATTTATTTAATTGTGTTGATTCCTGAGACCACAGGTCTTTTGTTAATGATGTTCTGGATGATGACAATGTCAGTAATAATGACATAATGGGTAAAGCAATGGGATTTGATGGTTTGTTCAATGAACACTTTAAGTTTGCTTCTGATAGGTTGTGTGATGAGCATTTGTTTCAGTTCAATGTTTATGCATGATTTTGTGCCTCAGAATCTTACCAAAGTCACTCTTGTTTCCATAATTAAGTCGAAATCTGGTAACATTACTGATAACAGCAATTATAGGCCTATTGCACTGGCGTGTGTAGCATCTAAACTTCTAGAGTCAGTTATGATTGAAAACTGGTTTGATACATTATGTTCTAATGACAATCAATTTGCCTTTAAACCGGGACACTATACTGACCTAGGCATATTTGTGATAAAACAGATAATTGAATATTACACTTAATAACGGTAGCCCTGTTTACTGTTGTTTCTAAGACGCTAGCAAAGCGTTCGATAAAGTCAACCACTGGATGTTGTTTTAGACGCTGGTTGAACAAGGTACCCCCACCCCTGTTATTCGAGTCCTTCGATCATAGTATCAGTTGCAGGAGTTTGTTGTCATGTGGGATAACTGCATATCTGATCCTTTCTCCGTTAGGAACGGAGTGCATCATGGGGAAGTCATGTCTCCATTACTGTATAATGTATACACTGATCCGCTTAATGTACTTTTAGATAATGCTAAAGTCGGATGTGAATTAAACGGTACTAAAATCAATTGTTTAAGCTACAGTATGCGGATGATTTGGTACTTATGGCTCAATCAGCAGCAGGACTACAAAATCTTATTGATATTGCCAGTGATTATGATATCATGTTTAATGAGTCTAAATCAAAATGTATGGTAATCTGTCGTAAGGTGCGTAACCTGCAATTTGTTAACTCTATTACCTGCCTGTACCTTGATCATGTTATAAACAATAACCTAAGCGATGAGTGTGACATTAAACGTCAATACCGTTCGATATGTATAAGAGCTACAGCAACTCCCTCAGTAGGAAATTTGGTAATATGCTCTACGACGACTAAATGTTATTTGTTTAAATGCTACTGTGTTAGTATGTATTGTTCTACTCTTTGATGTAGATATAACAACGTTAATATAAGATTGTTAAAATTTTATATTTATTATGTGTCCGTTTGCTTTTGTGAATGTTTAGATAGATAGAGGAATTATGTTCCATTCTTTGTAATTTCCAAAAGGACAAATAGAATATGATTCTGATTCTGAGTTATAAGTATCTTGAATTAATTTACAATGTTAAAGTAAACAAATAATTTATATATTTTATTTATAAAAAAACAAAAACAAAGATAGAAAATAAAGCTAATTTTTAGGATGAGCTTAAACTTTTAATAGCAGGGACCCAATGATAATGTTTTCTAAAATCTTATTCAGTAAACGAGTTGTAAATGATTGGAATGCTGCCACCAAACCACGCTAATTTTTTGTGTGGAGAATATTTTTAAAAATTTGTACAGAAAATCAATAGAAAAACAGGTGCTCGGAATTATATTACTGTTATGCATACATTGAGTTTAAATAGACCAAGGGCTAATTTTTTGTCAAAATTGCCCAGAAATCAGCCCATTTTTTCCAAAATGCGTGGACAAAATTCTATGCCTAATTTTTGCGTGGGGGATATAGTCCCTGTGCAAACCTTATTTTACATTCCAGCCACCGAACAAAGTTGTTACTGCAAGGTCAGGCCTGTATTAATATCCAAGAAGATTTTTTTTTTCATATCTCAGGAGAGACAAGTAGCTAAGTCGCAAAACTTGCTGTTTAATGCTTAATTAAAGTATATTATGGTAATATCAAATTAGCATTAAATGTAAAAATGATCTCTGCAGTTGAACTTGTTGAAGTCAAATTCAAAATGGCATTAAAAAACTGTTCGACTTATATATAATTCGAGTTACAGGTGGTTAATTAATTGGAAACACAACAATTTGGCATGTAAAATAAGATCGACTTAGAATTTCGAGTTGGGCAAAGTTTAACTATATATGGATTTGGTTTAGTTCTGTGGAATAGAATACCGTTAACCCTACTGCCATTTCATATATTAAAGAAAAAGTGTTACGATACAACTGAAGATGATTATAGATAAATGATAAGAGAGTTTCATTAGATTTGTACAGTATAACATGAGTCCCAAGTTGGAAGAAGTCAATTCCAGGAGCAGTGGTGGCACCAGTGGGTGGGGGGGGGCATTCCCCACCCTGCCGAAGAAAATATATGTACTGTTTATTAGTAGACTCTAAAATCAATTAAATGAGCATTTTAGTCGTTGGTGTATACTATCTCATCCCCATCATGGTTGGGGTTCAGGTAAGAAAAATTTATGATTGTGGCACCAGATGGCCAGAAATGGCACCGCACTCTCAGACTTTAATTTGAATATTAAATATTATCTTTTTCTCTCCATTATTTCTCCACTCATCTGGTTAATGAGCTTTCGTATCATTTAATTTTAATTTGCTGCACACTGTGATACTCATTGGCAATGACTCTTGTGAGACAATCAATAATAAAACAGTGAAAACGTGTACACATTATAAGTTTGCAGGTTAATTTCCGCGAGATTCTTGCTTGCTTGCGGGAGTGCGGGAGACTCTCGCGAGTTATGAGAGACTTGGAACCCCTAGTGTAATAATCATTTTCTTCTCTTCATAGCTAAGATATCCAGGAAACTTTTATTTGTTTACTTGGCAAATGATGTTGTCCAGAACAGTAAAAGAAAAGGCCAGGAGTTTACAAAAGAATTCTCAACAGTAATGGAGAGTGCTTTCATCCATGTTATAAGGTAATTTAAATCATTACGTAAATAATTTACTTCAAATAATTTTTGTTTATTAACAATTGTCTCAGCACTGTATTTGGCCAAAAAAAATAAATTTTTTTCCCACGTTTTGGGAAAATCCAAAAAATGGGTAGGTCGGTAGGAAAACTTTTTTTTTAAATTTAAAAACAAATATGTGTTTACGTCTAAAAAGTAAAAAATATACAAATAATACAACAATTTTAGATTCGGATCACGTACCTTCCAGCAAAATAGGCTAGCCTTGGCCCCCTAACCTCGCCAAGTCTATTCCAGTCTTATTTGCTCATAAAAAAGTATTCGTAATACTGACAATTTTATTTAATGCCGACCCTTAATTTCGTAAAATTTGGGTCGGTCAGGCGTGGCCAACTCAATAAAAAAAATTTTTTGCCCTTACAGGATGTATATAACACTGTCATAGTCATAGGCCTATTTACTGGTGAAATTTTAAAGTACTAAATGTTCACTATTTACACAGACACACATACCCAGGGGAATGCCAGGGAAGCTTATGGAATTAAATATTGATATTCACATCCTACTTCAATTATCAACAGATGCCATTGTCTCTCATGCCCTCTTCCCCTCACATACGTACACCTCCACATACCCTTGCATAACCATACAAACCTGAGCAACTAATGGGATTTTTAAGAGTCTTGAAATGGGGGAGGGGATGCTGAATGGGGTGGGGGGCCACAAAGTGAAGTGGGATGCTGGGTGATCTAGTGAGTGCTTGCTTGCAAAAATAAGGTGATTTTTAACTACTACTATTTTTAAACATTTACAATGGGGGTACACTACGGGAGCAAATTTTTTTTGGTGGGGAGGTGGGAGGGACATATGTCCCCTCGCATCCCCTAGATAGATAAACACCTGTCTAACCAAATTGAGAGGTTGCAAAAGCAAGCATGGAAAATTGCACTTGGCCAAAATTATGAGAATTATATTGCTGCCCTAAATCAACTCAAAATTACTACTGTAGTCTTTCTGAGTGCCCCTTTAATTTTCCAATTTCCCATAAGCACCCCTTCAATTTTTATTTATTTCCATAAGCACCCCTCAATTTCCACTCTGTTTTCATATGTGCTCCGTTTGAATTGACTCCCCTCAAATAGAGCCAAAATTATTTTAAGCGCCCGGGTGCTTATTTGTGCGAGTAAGGTAATTGTGCAATATTGAACAGCTACTGTTTTGTACGTTTTTTTATATACCGAAATAAATAAATAAATATGCAACTGTGAGCCACCAATGTGTTAGGCCTATTGTTAACTACAGTAATCCTAAGGAGAATATTACTTTATCTATTCATAACATTAACATTTTAATTTTTGAAATTATAAATTGTTTATCAGATTTTGAAGAATTGTAATTCGTGCTTGATTCAATATGTTTTTGTTTATGTAGCGTCACTGATGAGAAAACCAAAGGTTCAATGGAACGGGTGTGTACCATTTGGGCAGACAGGGGTGTTTTCGATGCAACACTTATAAAGCAATTACAGTCTACTTTTGGTAAGAAGCATAATATTATAAATTAGCAAATCTATATAGAACATGAATCTATCAATTCAACAAAATAGAATACTGTATGTTGCTGAAAATAGTCCTAAAGCCCAATCACACTTAGTAGCATACGTTGTCTGAAGACTGCCTGAGGGCGAGCTTTTTTTAAGTGTAAACAGTCAATAAATTTTAAACTGGCCCAAAGGCGACCTAATTTGGTCCAACTTTAGAGTTGGCTCATGTCTCGCAATGTCTATATCTGCCTATTTCTTCACATCTGAACGTAGACCGAACCTGGGTAGCCAAGGTCGCCTTCATAGCGGTAAACTTTGATATTATAATAAGATTTCATTCATAAGATGAAAAAAAAAACCATGCCTCTTAAAAAAATAAAAAGAAAAGATAAAAAGTGTTGCAAAAGTCTTCAAGGGGGAGTACTGGGAAGGTGCTCAGGTGGGATATCTTTTAGCTGTATGGATGGAGAGAAAATACAACAGCAATTGTGAGAAATGCTGTGGTGTATAGGGTGATAAGTGGGAGGATGGCAGGGAAATGTTTTTAATCGTACGGACGATTAAGTAAAGAGGCATATGATAAGAAATAAGAAAGAGGCGATCTGCCTCAAACTTACTGTCCTGCAATTCATCGACCCAGAACAAAGAAAGAAGTGTGAACATTCGCAGTGCAGCCTAAGTCGACATAAAATACTTACTGTGAATGGAACGGTCATTTTGAGTTGGCTGTAGTTAAAGCAGCCTTGATACTATATAATTGTGATTGGGCTGTTAATCTATAAATTTATAATTGTTTTTATAAATAAGGTGGAAATATATATCTTAGTGGTGCTTGTCTTTTAATCCCAGGGTCTTGGGTTCAGTTCCTGTAACTGTAGAACATTTTCTCTCAACTAAAAACAACACCACTTCCTAAGCCTAAGAATTTATTTAATTAAATAAAATAATCAGTCTGGTTATAAACATTTTAATTAAATATTAGTGTTTGATGCAAAAGAAAGAGAACTTTAGAAAATTAATGTACAAAATAACCAACTTATGTGTTCTTGTTCAACTTTTAGTTTCACCAAGCAATACTCCTCTAGACTCCCCACCTCCTAATGAATTCGAACCAGCTTCACCCAAGAAACCTAAGACAGACCCAGCAGAACAAATGCAGAAAACAATGCAAGAATTACTTAAAGAACTCAACGAAGAGGAACCTCATATACGCAATGTTTACGAGATCTTGAACACTCAGCATCAAGCGATGCTGCTGTAAGGGAAAAGATTGCCAAGTTACCACCTGAAGTGCAAGATGTTAGCCTACTAGAGAGAATCAAAGGTAAGGCAGGGATGTAGTTATTGTAGGTGGAGGTGGGTGGGGGCCACCCTGCCTTGAAGTTTTCCACCCAGTCTAAAGCTAATTTCATGGCCCTTCACCCACCCGTATTAACTCACTTTTCCATCCTTAATATCCACTCTTATTATGTATTACTTACTTTATTACCAATGTTATTGCCCACCCACCCTTGATTTGTCTATTACCCACCCATAGTTTTCTACAGCTACAACCCTGGTAAGCTATACTCCCTTAGTTCTTGTCAAGCATGCACTATACACAGCAGAAACCTATAATATTTTATAGTACTGTATGTCAAAATGCAAAGAATATAGGAATTGTATTATTAATTAATGTCCGTTAATTTGGCATGGGAAACTTTTTTTTTTTTTTTTTTTTTTAAACTAACAACTTATTTGTGAGGCAAGCCATCCTAAAATCAGCATACCGTTGTAGTGTGTTAACCTGAGTATTTAGAATAAGAAAGTGACAGTAATGTATACTTGCTACTTCGAAGCTGTAAAAGTTTATTTCATAACATTGGCAATAGTTAGTCAATATCAGTAAATCACCCATCATTTAAAAAATTTATAATGTGGAAAATATGTATACCTACAACAGCAATTCTATTTATTTTTTGTTATATATTTGCTTCAGGTGGCAATATATCTTTGAGGATATTCATAGTATAAAATATGTAAATCATCCATCACAATGATCGTTAATAAATACTATAATGAGTAGAGAGTAATTTAATTGATAGTATTGTCTATTCCATCACGACAATAATACTATTAACACTGCAGTACCTGCTGCTTACTCAAATTCAACCCTGGCCATCAGACGCAAGCTCGGTGGTTTAGAGGTATGATGCTAGGATAGTGATCTGGAGGTCGTGGGTTCGAGTCCCACCCGAGAACAACAAAATGTTGATTTTTCAGATAAGGATTCAGCAGAAAAGCTTTCGACTCTTGTAAATGATGCCGTTTCCATGTTAACTGACTATAATGGAAGACTAGACCTCGAGATGGAAGAACGCAAGAGAGTTCTCAAGATGTTGAGAGATTACCGTCTAGGTCAGAAAGATCAACTTGTAGCTGCTGAAAAGAAATTAGAGGTAAACATTTGTTATTAAGTTACCATCTCTCAATTTATCTCCTTTAAGTCTGGTTTCCATAAAAATCAGTACACGCTATCGTCGACTCCGTTGGTCAGTTGGTTCAGGGAGCGTTCACGATTGCATTGGGGACAGCTACGCAGTGCAAGGATTGCAGTGAACATGATGCAGCGACAGTGTAGCGATTCAGTGGAAACCAAGCTTTACTCTCTATGTTCTCTTATTTATATTCTGTTAAACATCGTCTTTCTTTTTATGCTGTATCTTCATCCATTACTGTCTATTTTGTTTTAGTGGTGGCGCCAGCTCTTTCTTGACAGGTGGTCTATCATTTGCTGACAAGTGGGCCAGAGTCCACACCCACCTTAGCACCACCGTGTTTCATTTTCTTCTTGACAGACTTTACGGTGGCTCCCTAATAGCTATCTGGGCCAGGCCTCCTGGAGGGCGTCACTGCACAGCAAAGTCCATTAGATGTATTAAGTTCTCCCGGAAGTGGCTTCTTCTAACTTGTGACCCCTGACATGGGTAATCCCACATGTCACAACCAACTTAGTCTTTTATTATTCATGTTTACTCTTGTTGTTTTTTATTATGTAGAACTATTGCTCTTTATATTGTTATTGTTGTGCTGCTGTAGCTGTAAGCAAATGACTATATTTTATTATGAAATCATTCTCGTTGATAATTGATTTATAATATAATGCATGAAATTTTTTCTTAGGAGTATAAACAGAAGTTGAACAAGGTAACAACTGTGCGGAAAGAGTTAAAGAGCCACATTCAGAACCTACCAGACCTTACGCTTCTACCAGACGTCACCACCGGTGGTCTTCCTCCTCTGCCATCTGCTGGTGACCTGTTTTCCATTGACACTTGAACCACGACCTGGAAACCTGATGAAGAAATAACAGATCTACAAAAAGGTCGGATTCCTGATGGATAAATTCAAAGGACATGGGCTTCAAATGTTGAATTTACCTCTATGGTGGCTTAATATCACATTGTGATGGCACAACTCTTTGGATGAGTGTCATTTGGGGATGTAGGTATAGCCCCCATTACATTATATCTGATTGGAATTTTTTCAACAAATGTTTTTAAAAAGTAAATTAGTTTCAAATTTTAAGCAAATTTATTTCTGGGACCTTGATGCATATAGCAGTTTTGATATCGAACATTGGAGGTTGTAAATGTTATTATCATCATTTATTGTAATTTAATTTAATAAAGTTAGATTTATATAGTGCTTTATACCGAAATAGTCTCAAAGCGCTAGAGATGTGGACTGGCTATTACAGTAACTTGCTTCTCCCCTATGGGTCTCTTTGTGTCTGAGCTACCTGGTAAACCAGGTACTCTCATCAGTCCACAACAGGGGCTGTATGGACCAGTATAACAGCTGTCTCTTATACCCATCT